TCGTCTGTCAAGCGAAACCCCGCCACACTGTCCGACAGCGATGCTGATCGTCCTTGACCGCTTGACCAATGGAACAAAGCTCACTCGGTTGCTCTAAACCGCATAAATGGCCATTTTGCAATCTGATACCTGGAGACTTTTACGGTTGCACACCGCTCTGCTGGCTGTGGACTTTTAGTATCCGCGGGACGAGTGGCACTACATAATGATGTACCATCGGCACATGATCTTCACTGAAACAGATCCGTAATAATGACCGAAAAAAGCAGTATATTTCTACGGAGCAGAACTACGAGACAGTTTTTATCTGTGTGCATTCGTGGTCGTCCCACGGTAAAAAAAACAACCCTAATTTCTGATTGACAAAAGTATGATCCGTGCAAAACGAAAACCAACTCACTTCTAATCGACTGTCCAGTTTGTAACGTGTTCGCCAATATCGAACACGATCCTCAATTTGCATTGAATCCAAGCTTTCTACCTGGAGCTCATCAAAATTGTCCAGCGCTTTCAACCCCTAAAGGATAGGTTGAATACAGGATAAAAACTCAAAACGTAGAGTAGTTACTCATAAAAATATGTCGGGGCAATATGGAATACAAATCACAAGTAACGAAGATCAGCGAATGTATGAGAATCGAGACTAAACAGGTTGATGAGAACTGTTTGACCAGTACATCAAAAAGATGTGGCGACTGGCAGAACACACATTCTGAGTACGAAGACATTTCCTCGAATGGTCAAACTCTTTAAAAAAGATACCAGGATTACTATGGCATCGTCCCTTCACGTCCTGTACATAAAATGGGAACTTCTGAGCCCTTATTAGAGCTTTCAAATCGCAAGTCCGATCCAGAAAACAATAGGACTTAGGGATGCGACCGAAGTCCCCTTACAGATTTAACACGTGAGTTATAAGGGGTTTCCTTTTTATTAGCCGATGCATTGGTTATCGGTCTGCGGTTTTAGGTTGGTCGAATGAGACAGGCGGAACGTGGATAGGACTGTAGTCTATTGGTTGGGGTCTGCCAAACTTTGGTGAGCGGTACCTGTCTAATGAAGCATGAAGATTATATGGTGAATTTTGTCGTGTGCAGAGCAAATGAAGCGTGGACTGAAAAGCAAGTAAGCACGAAGACTTTTGCCACCGTCGAGAAGCTCCAGATAACACACTTTTACGTTCATCTACGTGGAGGGGGGGGGGTACAGGTAAACTACTGTTCACGTTTCATCACTGAACTCATCGCTCCAGGGACAAAAAAGAATAGTTAACAGAAAAACCCATTGGTGTCCTATTCTTTGGTCCTGTGAAACTGAGTTTTGTTTGACCTTTATGCATTGTCACTTCAGATATGATTGGCTGTGCGGCTACTGTATTTTGTATAGGCCACGAGGTCATGAAATCACGAAAGCCATCGCACCGTGTCAAGATGAGCTTTCATCCTGATCGTATGCAAGTAACCAACACATGCAAATTAGTAAAAGCACCACAACATATGGCACGGTCATAGGTTTTGAGGGTGTTATGCCACAAAGGAGATAATTTGGGGGCCTTGTGTGAATGAAACTTGCAAATCAACAGGATGCAGGTCAGTTCACAACCCATTTGGAGCCAGTGTCCAGTTTATATGCCTAATTGAAGGGGTCAGGCATCCGAAGTACCCTACTCGATTTTTTTGTCCAATTACATTGATAAACCGCAAATGGAATTCGTTATGACCTCAGATGTAGGCTTTTCTACCTTTAACTTTGATGGAAAAAACATCCTCAGCACGGGAGACGGTACTAATTGGGGCTTTCTCGTGAGGTGCTTGATCGTATAAAAGCATATCACTTGGAACAGGGAAAGGGTGATTGGTCACGTTCAAAGAAACCTACTCCCGTCCACATTGAGGTCGCGTTAGAGATAGTTTTACCTCGTCTTCACGTGGCATTCCACAACGCTAAACAGAACGTTACGCAGCACACAACTGTGAAACAAGCACAGTACCGGACCTTACAATCGAATAACAAGGCATCAGGACTGTGTTTTACATTTCCTATTGTTAACTACACTACTAACGATTACAGATAAGGACTAAACAACCGTTCAGTAATTTTTATTGACCATTACGTACAGTTTCAACGAAATATACGAAGAGAAATTAAAGAACTGCCAAGGAGTGTAACCCATGCAATGCGATCAATATACGGAACCCGATGTCTGCGAATTAGCAAGGGCGAAAACAGGAAGTTGTTAATTTGATTGAAATAGTCATGAGTTAAAGACTCTCGCTCATCTTAGAGCATAAGATAGTCATAGTAGTTTAAAAAATCATTCAGATGCCACACTGCGCCTTAATCAAAACCCCGACTACGTTACAAGATCATAACGCGTGACGGCTACGAGCTTGCTTCCCAACTGCAGTTCCCACTCGAGGTTTTCAAACCACCAAAGCATTGGTGGCATATACGAATACACACATTCAGTTGGGTTCTGGTCAAAATAAGATCATTTGCTGAACCTCTCGAGGGACAGGTGAATACGACGCAGGAACTGCAATTTGTTGATGATGATTACGTATGGTGGTTTTATTATTTTCTGGGAGTAACTAACGCATCTCATAATTGTGCTACTGATGGAATTTATTGCCCCCAGCAGTACGCACTTCGGAATGCCACAGAGTTCAAATCGGTAGGGACATTACAAAAATGGCGTGCGAGCCCAAGTGACTTCTCAAGTGGTTACCGAGTTAATTGTTCCTGTACCCTAATTTCTGCACCCGTTTGTCTGATTTCGGTGAGCGCAAATATCGGATAGGGTAGGAAGTGGAGTAGTACAAAATGGGCATCAAATATCGTTGAATCACTTGCATAGGATTTTAATTCATTTTATTTGATAAGGATTGAAGTGAGGTACGATTGGTGCAATGGCTTTCACACGAATAATCCGTAAAAATACCGCATAAGGTGCAAAAAACTCTTTCACATCATTCTTGCAAATCATGAATGCACACGGCTTATTGCGTTTCACTAAACCACAGGGTTCAAGCTGCCAGTTTTACCTCCCGCCTCTCCAAGTTTTAGTGGATCAATGATGCAGGCGCGATGGTGTAATAGCATCAGCAATGCTCATTCGAACGCCGGTCTGAATCAAGTTTTAGAATGTAGTTCCATTTGAAGTACCCTTCAACGACAGAAGCGATGACAACGGACAAGGCCTCCGTAAAATAATGATCATCACCACCGCTGGTACCACCATTACAAGCACCATCCAACTTTCCCCATTTTTAATGCATTTTATGCTAGCCCCTTGATTGTCCGCTTATTCTTTCCTGAAAGTTGCTAGTATCTGTTTATGTTTGAGAAACGAAGAATAAATAAATAAATAATACTTCTGATGGAGATTCTGGATGATATGATTTTATATTAGCGGCAACAACCATTCGAATCCTTTGGGATCGGAACGATCATTTAGGAGAAAGCTTTTGCGAAGATGCAATGATGGATTTTCGTATATCTTTGTTTAATACCATTTTAAATGCAAGCGAAAGCAGTGATAAATAAATGGGATTTTTGGCAAAAACCGCACTAAACACAACAGCCATTGGATCTCGAAGATGTTGGACATAGAAATAATTATGCTAAATGAATCTTTCGAATGCAACACTGCACTTAAGATTGCAAGTCAATAATTTTGGTTTTTTACCGGAAAAGACCGCATTTATCGCAATGCTATATACTCACAACCTCTGAAAGATAGACAGATGCCATACTGACAGGTTGGTACAACCCAACCACACTGCTTGTGGACGCTTCATTCACTTTACAATACTTCTAACCTTGCACTGTCGTGCTCCAGTTTTCGTCGCTGTGTTTGGTGGGCTAATGAAGAAAAATTAAATGTAAATCGAATAGCCAAACCAGGGTAAGGATTTATAATGAACAGGAAACAGATGTACGTATAAATCGGGTAAATCCACGAGCTCCACAAGCGGGAAACTGAAAACTATCCTGAATAAAAATTCCTTTTTTTCCAGTTTTACCATCTCCATGCCAAGTCTTGTTTAAACTTTTTCATCCACCACTTGCCTCGAAAAACATAAACATGGAGAGGAGTTCGATCCAGCAACACGTGTTGGGTGTGTCATACTAATCGAAGCAGCGAAATTCGTCTGTTCGTTGTAGCATTCTCTGCACGAAAGCAACATGTCTTACAGGTGTAAACGCATTCCACTGATAGTTACACGATTACCCAACATACTCAAGAGAGGATATGTTCGCGGTATGAAAGCAAGCGCTAACTAATTTAAATATCGGATTGCTTTGGGGAGCGGTGAAATGTCAGTAATATCATTTCAATTTGTGAAATCCCCCAAATAGAACTACTGAGGTGGTGGCGCGGTGGTTTAGTCGCTGTCACCGGCGTACGTTGGACCCTATGGTCAGAGGTTCGAGCGCCGTCCCCCGCCACACAACTTTAGTANGGCAGCTTTGCTGTCGTCCGGTTCAATACCTCGCCTAGCCTAGCGGGGCCTTATGTGGTTCGCCACTCCAAGTCCCAGGACTTATGTTACCGGTTTCCATGACTGAACAACAGGTCCTAATGTCTATGGGGTTTATCCCGTCTGCTGTTCTTCTCACTAATTTGTGTAATAAGAAAGAGATACACACTTCTATATAACACAACTAACAAAATGCATCAATTACCGTGGTAGTGAATCCATGCAAAACACGGGTTTCTGCACAAAGGGTGTCGAGACTGGTTACCGAAAGGCCTGTAAAGCGTGTCGCCACTAGGTAGGCCGCATTCCGGGCCCCCAGACCCATTGGAAGGAGTTCATGACCTGACGGACAAACCAATTCGGACGAATCAGTGGACACATTGCCGGCAGCGATCTCGTCGACCAGAGAGAATTGAATCACTCGAATGCCAGCTGACTCGCATGGCTGTGTTCCCTTCAGTGGATTATGTAACGGATGGTTTGGAGCTATGCACTGTTTTGTTTGTCTCAGTGCATCCGACCAATTGCGCAATTGTTCACTTGATATTGCAGACTGAGAGGGCTTCACTTCGCTAAAATAATCCATAGGTGATAGATTGATAGACAGTAAACATGAGAGCAACAGGGTACGTTTATTTATGACTTTATATTCGGACGAGCTCAAACACAAAACCAGTAACTGAACAGCTCGCCAGAATTTGCACAATCATTAGCTCTGCACTACCGTCCATCAATTTTGGTTGCTGTCTTTCGATTGCTTTTTTAATCAACGAGAAAAGGAATAAATGAAAGCAGTCCAAAGATGAGGGCAGCACCACAGTGAAGATGCGAGACGCAAGTAAACATAGAGTGCGATTCACACTGAGTAATAAAAAATGAAGATGAGTATATGCACAGAAACCATTACTTAAGGCGTTGAGTCATATAATCCATCAACTCCAACCACCGCTGACCAACTCGCATTGGACAAACCCTGTGGGATAACAAGAAAAGTATTGTCCAGGTTAGACGAACAAATTCAACTGCTTGACCTTCATAGATTGCGATAGCTAAGGCATATTTTACGTACGTTTTCGGATAGACTTCACCCATGTGTGACATGTCTCAAGGCAGATAGCGGTCAGCAGAAGGGAAGTGGTGGTCAGACGGTGCTTTGGTATGGTGGAATGAAAACCACGACAAGGGAATCTGATCAGGTAGGTCAAGTTAGGCTTCACGATTGGGTACCTCGGAGCCAACCTAATCAACCATTTGAAAGGGATTTTTGAACTTTGGTCCTGCATTGTATGTAAGATGAGCGAAACACCGAAGAATGGCCGTTACAATGTGTTGAATCTGAGCCCCAGCCAGGACGGATCAAGCGAAATAGGAACCGAAAGAACAAAAAGCCTCACTAGGGAGTGGTGATGGTCACTGGCGTGCTTGGGGTCTGAATACTGCAATCACTGTCCGGCTTTGGTGGTGGGCAGCCTCGCCATCGTCCAGTTCCAGATTATCCTGGTGAGGTCACACGTGATTCGTAACTCAAGGTCCTGAGACTTGCATTGCCAATTCTAAGACGTGGACAGTAAGACCTCGAAAGTATGAGGTTTTTCTCTTTTAAATAACGACGCGTGATAAAAGAAACTATCCCAGGTACAAATGAGTGTAACAGCAAACGAAATTCTGTTGCCCTATAGATGCAGTGCAACACAATAGTTATTCTACCAGAATCGTAACAATTATTACCTTCACCTTCCCCCTGCACACACACAGGCATACATTATATATATATATATATATATATATATATATATATATATGTACGAGTGAGGAAGAGGTTGGAATTCCCTAGTGTTCATGTCCCTACAACGCTTAGTTCAGTTTTATTAAGATAACAGTGCTTTGTCTCTGGTCGTTGTCTGTGGTAGTTCGTGTAGGGGTATGCGAAAAAAAAAACTTAGCGCAGTGAAATTTGTTTTAGTCTGAATGACGCGACTAAGATATGTATACATCTATTCGTACGGCCTAGTGTATACAGACAGATCGGGAAACTGTAAACCCTAACCATTAAACACACGCAAAGACATGAAGACAACAATGCTCAAACGCCGGTAGTTTTATAGCTTTTATGCGTTATGACCACGCCTTAGGATCATAAAATAAATCCACCGGAGTACAACAAAGAGGGTATTTATTTCCGTGTTGCAGTTGACACCTCAATTCCTGTGATCTGAGTTTCAGTATTTCTAACAACGTTCCGCGCCCAAGATGGTCAAGGTGTTTCAAACACTCCACTGCGTATCATGCCATTACAAATAGTAGAATAAAAAAACTGAAAGTCAATGTTCTTATCAATCATAAAGATCCGCTGTTTCGTTCGTGATAAAACACTCATTTTGACAAAACGTGTACATTATTCCGACAAAGGACGACACTAAGGCTTAGTAAACAGGTTCTACTGATTCGTTACTACTCCAACGGTTTACTGTTTGATTATTGAGAATAAAACATTACCTTGTTTTTCACATAATCTAAGAGTAAAATCAGTAGAACAGTGAAAAATCAACCTATCGACTTCGTAATAATGAAAAACTGCAATTTTCCGTCATCACCGCTTAATCGATCCGGAAAATGGCACGGACATTTTAGATTCCAACAACTAATAAATTTTAGTTAAACCGCACAGGTTGGAATGATGACTCAGCTAGAATGGATGAAGTAATGTCTTCAGACTGAGTTTGGGTACCCTATCTCGAGACTCACGCGGCTACTCAAAACCACCCACTTGTCACGCAATCCGCAACACGCCTTCCTGTTTACTGCAGCAACTACCATAGGCTACATCTGTACATCGGTCAACCTGATCAACAATGGGACCTGAGAGAAATGGAACATAATATTTTATTTGTTTTCACACGATACTGGGCGATGTGCTAACTTCGATAGGCAATGCAGATGCTATTGTCATGATACCTTGTGATACAAGTGATTGGGACCGTTTTGAAGGAGTAATAGGTGCTGGTTGGAGAGGAGAAACAGATGAAAAAGGGCAAAAAGACGGAGTATACAAAACATTTAATGGGGACCGAAAGGACAAGGAAAAAGAACAGATGGAAACATACGTATGAGAGGCAGATGAAGTACGTTACACTGTTCGTGGAAAAGTACCGAACGACATTCAATTACTTGCTTTGGTTTGGACAACCCGGTATTATTACGCTCCGAGAGAAAAATAGTAACTGACTTGTTGTTTATAAAAAAAATCCGTATGATGTATTTGACAATTCGGAATCAGACAAGTGGGAAATGGAAGTCATTTTAATCCGTCACAAAAATGTAAGTTTATTGAACATCACATCAAACGCAAATAATTTTATTAATACTGTTGCGTTACACAAGCCTACGATATGCAATCAAAAGAAAATCCCATAAAAACTAGATTTTTATCACTGGGATATTGTGCGGTTCACCACTCCAGGTTCCAGGAATTAAGTAACCGATTCATAAGACTAAATAGTAGATCCTCGAAACTACGAAATGTGTAACAGTGAGAAACCATGAAACGTAGCCAGATATATTCTGTAAAATATTATTTACGTGTTTATTAATAATTATGTGGAAAAAACGAATTGCTTCCAGTCAGAACTTACTGACTAAGGAAAAATGTGTGTAGGACAAACACTTGCCACTTATATCGCCGGTTTTTCAATTCTCGTTGAGCGGTGGAGTAAATCGTGCAGAGTAGAGTAAATAATGATATTATCATCAGCTGGTTGAATGCATCCGAGAACAAGACATGAAAACCAGAATATGATTGAATATACACCGTTTCCTAGTTAATGAAGCAATACTTATGCTAAGAAACCGGGGCATGAAAATGTATGGACAATGGTTGTAAACTGAACTGGTATATATAAGTGTGTGCACAGTTAAGTATCGTAGTCAGCAAGGTTTTACACTCATTCTCTATCCTCAAGGGGGACTATTGTGATTCATAAATATTTATTCATATTCATTTCCTATCAACTGGAAACACGAAACCAACCAGTCAACTACTCGTCATTGTATTCTTCTGACAGAGGGAGAACCGTGAGCAGATGGCAGGAAATGATCAAACGAACTAATCTGTTTCGGAACTCACGATATGCGGGAGCTGAGGATTGACAGATACAAACTAGTAGCTGCTATACCGACGGACTGGGCCAGATAACGCCCCGCTTGGGTTTGATTATCTTTCCCCANCCCCAGCCAGTACAAAGCAAGCCAATGACAAATGGGACGCAGTAGACTAGGCACCGGAATTGCAGCCAAACGTTGATAAGCTGCCTCCACCTGAGTGACCTGTGCATCTGCTAGAGATTGAGCCCGTTTTTCAGCGGCCAGATGCAGACGAAAGTCCGGATGATGCAGGTCTGAAGTCCCAGACAGAGAGGAAAGAACTGGTGGTGACAGGTCGCAAGAAGGATGTGTGCTCCTGCGCTGACTCGCTTCCCATCGAGATGCGAGACGCAGATTGCGCGGTCTTGGAGGTACTCCAGCAAGGGAGGGACAAGCTTCGACCGGATCCACTAGTTCCGATCCGACAGAACGAGCATGATTGACAGATACCGTACGTTGCTGATTGCTCTCATCCTTAATAATGAAACAAGCATTTAGAAAAAAATGCTCAGAAATTAGCACATTGAAGGTAGGGGTTCAAGGTTATNTATTTAACTGCTTTAAAGAGCAAGAGTTGAATGACATATACCAGCAAGACGTTTCTCTAAGAGTAAAATCGCACAAACGCGTAGTACTCATCAGGGTAAATTTCTATCATTATCCTTTTGAAATGCAGACCCTACCAAAAACAGTTTAAAGACAATCCTTTAAGCTGTAAAGTACTTAGATTTGCAACAAGCACAACACACAAACCTTTATTCGTGCAAAAAGGATGAGATCGGACTCGGCCCACAAGCACACGAGGAGTATTAAGGATCTGTTCAGATGGTATGAGTAAAGGGTGCTTCTGGTTATCTAATTCTTTGCAGTTATACAAACTCCAGTGGACTCCAGGTCGTGTGACAAGTTCAAGCGGACTATCAAAACACATGGCTCCAGGAGAAGAAAACATCGCGTAGGTTGTTGAGTCGGTATCAATGCAGCACCAGTAAAATGCAAATTCCTCTCATTTTAACAAGCAACATTCGTTCTGTTGGGAAAATTCGACGATGCAGCAGATATCACACGAAAAAAGGAGTGCAAAAACCTTGGGATTGTTATGCTACAAGAATCGTGGCTGCAAGAAATTCCCAGTGAAATTTACCACTGGATGGATATAACTTGTATCGGCTTGACCGTCCCACGAGTGTCCGTAAACGAGGCGGTGTACCAAGTTACGTTGGCAACAAGTGGAGTAAATCAACCGCCGTCATCTACGAATACTCGACGGATAAAATCAGTTGCCACATCATGTATCTCCCGTTTTTGGGTAGGTTTCGTTCCATATCTCTTGGAACCATTTACCTGGCACCCACAATATCAGCATCTGACATCGATAGGTTTTCTGATATTTTTTCTACTGTCATCATAGCACGAACAAGCGAGTCATGCATATTTGTTGGTGATTTTAACAGACATGATGTAACTTTTCTCACCACACTGGGTCTACAAAATTTGGTACATTTTCCTAACAGACCCGATGCACAACTAGGTTTGGTATTTACAAATAGACCGCAGGTTTTTAAAGTCCAGAAACGTGCTTCTTTGAGTAGCTTGGATCATTGTATCTTAAAAGTGTGTCCAACTGCTTACAGCCACAGATTTTTCGGTGTTTCCAGATCAGAACCCTTTTGCTTTCTGTGAACATGTTACAGACTACCTAAATTTTTGCTTTAACCTGTGTTGCCCACTCGAAACGGTCTTTATCCGTAAAGATAGACACTCATCACCGTTACTAAAATAGCTACAAAGACAGAAAGAAAATGGGCAGAGAACCCATGTCAAGCGGCCTACAATTTTGATCAAATCCGAAATAAATCGGTTAAACAAACTGTACATAGACATTATCCTGGGAAACTTCAGTTGTAGTGGCATGTGGAGAGCTATCAATCGCCCGTGGGGCAGTACCAATAAACATAAAAGGGAAACTGTCGATGTTGAAAGATCAAATTCCGAGTTTAGTCCAGTTTTACAGTGGATAGCCCTGCGACAATTGGTCAACCCTACGCCGCCACCAACTATCGAACCCACCAAGGTCCTCCAACAGCTACAGAAAACAAAGATGAACGAAGCATCTGGTCCAAACGAACTATCACCCCTGGTACTTAAGGCATGTGGGGATACTCTTTCGGTCCCATTGTCTAAAACACTCAATGATTGTCTGATAAGCGGAAAAATCGTTGAGATTTGGAGACAGGCCAATATAATTCCCGTCCTAAAAAAGGAACCTAGTAACGACAGTCCCATCGCCTGCATGTCATTCATGCTCAAATTATCTGGGAGATGCTTGTTACCGTGGGTTGTCACGGAGTCTGCCGAAGACTACGTATCGTTCTTCGCGTTCACCAATGATGCAATTGCTTCGCTTGTTTATCCAATAATTCCAGCTCTAGATAAAAAAGTAGTACCTTTAGATTGGTGTTCTTAGACTACAAAAACACATTCGGCAGTCTTGATCGATCGATATTACTCAACCTGATTACCAAGTGGTGTTAATCCTAATGTTGCAGATTGATCCGCGATTACTTCAAGAATAGAAGGCAGTTCACATGACTCAACGGCAAATCACCTTCCCGCCCGGTTGCTTCGGGTGTTCTGCAAGGTGCAATATTTCCCCGTTTTTGTTTTCAAACTATGTCGAACAATTTCCAATTCCTTTTACATTCATTGGCTGTAAATAGGCAGAAACTGTTGTGTTAGGTTGCAAAGCATCCACGCCTGAAGAGGCTTCAGAAATTCAAAACAAGCTAAACGACGTTTTTAGTTGGTCCTTGTCCTGTTCCCTCTCATTAAATGACTTTAAATATCAGGAAGTTGTGTTTTCCCTGTTGGCCTACGTACCATATGCAGTCCTCACAAATAGGTTTCCCAGTCTTTCTACCAATCGTGAACACATGCCAACATCAACAATGGTAAAATCTATTGGCGTCGCACCATCACACAATTTACCATGGTCATTGCAAGTTTAAAACACATATACAGTTAGAAAGCTTTCATATATCTCACTCCGATTGAGAATACTTTCGGTTCCCCACAAGCTGATTGTTAGGTTTGTGAATGCATGCGTGCTCCCCCACTGGTTGGATTGCTCCCTATTGATTTTCCCCGTTATGTTGAAAACGAACTTTTATTTACTGGTGATAGATATCTCTAAATGTAGTAGCACCGTCAGGAATAAACTTACAGACTCTATCACACACAGACATCTACAAGCATGTGAAAATTTTGTTGCCGAATCACTCTCAGACAGTCATTATTCATTACACAACGAATTTTTAAAAGCTGTATCTACATCATCCACACGCTCAGGGTTCAAACTTTTATTTTCATGTACCTATTCATATCGTAATTCTGTTTTACCATATCTAGCCCGTTAACAAGGTGGAAGTTCCCACAGAATTACGCAATTGCTTGCTTCATTGACAAAGACGGTATCTACTGCTTTCAGGTTAATTATGTATGCTTTTGTAAATTCCCATCCATAAATATGGTGTAGAATGCTGAAAACTCATCCTTCAGGGTGCGTGAAGCTACTAATGACTTGGCTTGATGAATGGAACGGCTGCGGGGGGCTACGCCGTCACCTAGGATCTTTTTGTGGCTCACTACAACCAGAGATTAGAATACCGGTACTAATAATCAAACAGTCGGTTCTCGCAACTGTAGAAACCAGTCTACTAGCGTCATTGCACTAAGATATGCAAGTGAAACCTTCCATCAAGACGAGACTGCACCTTGACGTGGTGATGCCTCGCGTGCCTCCATGACCCTGCGAGCTATACAGCCGCAGATCCAATCACGCCTGGAAGTTCAATGAGTAGAAGCCAAACGAAGCTCAGTCTCACAAGGCCAGTTGCTCAGGCACCTGGCTTCCATTGATTATCCACTCTCAACCCTGAAGAGGTCACTCCAGTAAATAAATACGGTGAGGGGCAGTCTACCGGTTAAAAACCCCGTTAGATGGACGCAAGAGCGGGGTACTTCGGGCTTCCTCTCGACGGTGGGAGAAGTCTTCGCAGTTCACTGAACGGCTACCGCCTACCCAAGCTCGGTAGCACCCAGTCAATAAGATGTTGTCCAGTCCACGTTCCGTTTGTCTCATTGGGTACGAGACTAAAGGCCAATCCCGAACAGCGGACCGATAATCGACGCACTAATGAACAACATGCTGGACCGAAATCTGAAGAACTTGCGTGACAAGTCTCCAGAATCTCCTACGTTGGTGCCTCGGTCGCTCTTCTGCGTTGGATTGTGGGTTGCATTGTGGGTCCCACTTCTCAAATAAAAACCCCCTCGTCGGTGTGGGCTACTACGAAGCATGTCGTACCCCAAAGTCTTAGGCACCCATTTGGAAAACCCTCTTTTTCATCTGTCCAGTCCTTTCACTCACTACCAAATCGTACGCGATGCCTCCTGCTTGTACCATCCATAGGATATTACTCAGCGTTCAACTAGTAAGGTCCACCAACCAGAAGCTAACAGATTTTGAAACCAAAATCCCCTTTTCACTTAACCGCGTTCAATTTTCGCACACTATCAAACTGATCAACAAGTTGCCTTGGCTAGAACCCTTGGAACTTTCAATCTAGATGCATATTGTGTCTCCAACACACGCATACAAG